TCTGTGCACTTACAGTTGTTTCTTTTGTCTTAACTCTTGCTGCCTGCCTCTACGCCTCTTGTTGCTGCTGCTGCTGCTACTGCCCTCTTCTGCTGCGGATGCTTGCAGTTGTAGTTGTAGAAAAACTTTCTAATGTAGAAGATGTCTGCTACACACCGCGTACCGCGTTTTCCCTGCCTGCTACAACGCCATTGTGCTGCGATTGAATTGCCTGCTCACACAGTAGTTTGAATCTCTGGTAGGCCTCTGTTTATTCTGCTTTTCTGCTTTTTCTTTTACTTCTTTTTTTTCGTTGAGACTTTTCTCACAGCTTGAGAAATTGTCGAAGAATTGTTGAATGTTGTAAAGCTGTAAAAGCGCTACCAATGCGATTCCAATTCTATGGGCTCCATCGATTGATGGTAATTCTGCTGCTGGGTGAAAGTTTTATGCTAAACCTCAAGGGACTGACTGGACTGACTGGACTGTTACATATGGAGCGATGTAAATCACTTCATTACGTGCTACTTAGAATGATGCAGGCAGAAAATATATCTGCCTGATCATCAGATGTGTCACAATCGACAACCAGCCACCAACTTCCAGACTTTCCATCCATCTAATAGGCCCAACCAACCAACCAACCAAGCAACCAACAAAATTTGTTGTATTTACATGCTAATGTGAAACGGAATATTTTTTTTGTTTCTCATCGAAAAACGAAAACGCATTTTGGATTTTTGATTGCCAAATGATGGGGACCAGCAACAACAATGGAAGAGCTAATAGATTTAATTGGAAGCCCGGTTCGTTATATAAACCTGAGAGCAGAGCCAGAACCGCGTGCCCCAATACCCCCCCCCCCCCCCCTGCGTGGAGAAACAGCAACGAAAACTCTCAACAAAGATACGAAAGAAAGATGTATCTGTAGCTGTATTGCGGGGCAAATGATTAATGCAGCCAAAAGCCGAGACCTAAAAAGACCCAGAAATCGTATTTTCACTTTTTAATAATTAACATAAAATTATTAACAAGACGAAGAAGACACAAACGCCCGAAGAACCAAAAGAAGGCTCCAAAAACCACACCAAAAATACAAAGAAAAATACACAAATAAAAATAAAAACGATGCCAAACGCATTAAGCCAGAGAGAGAATCTCGAGGCACCCCCAGAAAGCCAGCCAACGAAAAGAATAAGCCATGAAAGTTGTAAATTTTCAAACCAGACGAGAGGAGAGATCTCTGTGTGTGATTTCATAAAGTCTCGTAAAGAACTCGCATGACTAAGCCACGCCGAGAAGACTAAATACACTCGAACATTAAGCCCAGGCCCAGACCCAGGCCCAGGCCACAAGAATTTTAAGTGAAATGAGTTTTGAAAAAAGATTTCCCGAAAGCGGCCATCGTGGGGCCATCTGACCCAATTACCCATTTAAGCCCAACCAGAGACCAAAACGAAATAACCAAAAAGAATGAGAAGAGATGGTTGCAGATGGAGATGGAGTGGAGATGGAGATGGAGATGGAGAGGCACAAGTCGAGTAAGTAACAGTTATGTGACGGGCAGACAATCGAAAGTTTATGTCATGCTGCCGACAGCAACGGAGCAACGGTGTGGCAGTGGCAGTGGCAGTGACAGTGGCTGTAGCAGTAGCAGCGGTAGAAATGAAGCCTGATGCAGCCTGAAGATATATCGTACAGAAAGACAGACAGACAGACATATATCTGAGGCAAATCCGACAGCCGTGAAGGAGCAGCTCTTGTTAGCCGTGGCTGGATAGTTCTTTTTCGGGGATCAAGAATCTGAAAGTAAATGATACACAAGATGGTTTTGTGAGATCTGCCTTTCTGTTTCCCTCCCCCCTGCCTGCCAGCCACAAGCGAGTGAAATATAAAACAATTTTTTCGAAAGTCATGACAACGAAAATAAATGGTTCTTGTACGGAGTATCTTTTCATAGGCCTAACAGTGGCAGTACCAGTACCAGTACCAGCCAGCCAGCACGAACAATTAAGAGCAACAAAGCCGCAAGAAAAGAAAAAGTAACTTCACACCAACAGAATACACGCACACACACACACACACAGATACTCTTGCACACCGATACAATGAGCAGAGTCCGTTGCTGACCAGCCAAATCGAAAAAGATACACGAAAAGAGAAACAGAAAATAAAATAATAAAATCGAAACATGAAACATTCTGATTGTATGGAGAGCCCCGCATGGAAGTAGGTCAAGCAGCGCAGTTGCCGTCTCCGTCACTGCTTCAGCTGCCTCTGCCTCTGCTGCTGCTGCTGCTGCTGCTGCTGTCTCCGTCATCGCCAACGCGCTCTTGGATTTGGCTTTGGCTGTGGCTTTGGCTTTGACGTTCGCTCTGCCTGGCACTGGCACTGGGTCTCGGTCTTGGTCTTGGTCTTGCTCTTGGAACTGCGGGGAGCCCACACAGGCACAAGGAGAACAAAAATAAACCCATACACAGACACAAGACACCGCTGACGGAATACTTAAGCATCCGCGTCCACTTGCACTTTCTTTTTCAAGCTCTGCTGTGGCTTTTTGCTTTTCTCATTCTACTTCTGTTTCTGTTGCTGCTTAGTTCGTGTCTCAAGTCTTTCGTTTGGCTCTGCAGCACGTTTGCTTCGCTTGGCTTTCGCTTTGCTTTGCTTTGCGCTCTTTCCCCTTGATGATTTGATGGTGGAGGTGCTGCTGCTGGGACTGGGGCTGACAGCAAACGTGTTCTGCCAAAGCTTTTGGAGGCTCGTGCTTGGCCATCTATTAGATTAGACGATTGGCCAGCCAGCCATCATTTAACTATCATTTTTCGATTAGGCTCAAAAGTCTTTCTCAACCAACACTTCTTTAGGACACGACCACAGCAGAACACCAACAATTAACAGAAATGGGAAAATCTTTGGGAAATTTTGTGGCATCTTTTGTTGTGTACTCGTAAAAACCTGAACAACAGCCTTTATTGAAGAATACAATGTGAGGATCTTATCATATCATATCATAATGTATTTGATATGAAAATAAATTAAAAAATTCTATTTGACTTGCACATAAATTCATCAAAAAAAGTTCTTCTAATATATTTTTTAATTGAAACTAAATATAAAACACTTTAGAATAATAATCTGTTATATTAAATGAGTATGGAATTTATTTAATCAAAATCTAAAAAATGTATTTTAAATATGAAATCAATTAATTTCATATTATTGTCAAAATGTATGTGAAAACACTTTCTTTTGGCTAATTTCTACTCTCGGAGTAAAATTTGTAAAAAATTTAAGAACTTTTTTTTCTGTTTCGATTTGGTTTCAAAGTATTTCCAGAAAAAATAAAATAAAATTCACTTCGATTTACACATAAATTCATTAATAAAATTTAAAACACTTTTAAATTAATTTGTTATATTAAATCTGTATGGAAATCAATATGGCCAATTGATCATTTGATCAATTCTTTTTTCAAGCGTTCTTTGTTAGTAAATAAAATTATACGATTTTCTTTCAAATTTTTAGTTTGTTTGGGGATTGCTACCACGAAAAGAAAATAAAAATTTTTGTTTAAATATATATTAAACAAAATTGAATTCGTCGGTTTTTTCAAATAATATTGAAACTTAGAAACTAGGTCATATTGATAAGTTATTTTTAATTTTTTTTTTTAGTAACTGTTAAAAAATTATTGATTGGCGAATATTAGGAAAACTTGTTCGCAAAAACTGATTAATGATATGTGAAATAGATTTCCAAGCATTATCCAATTCATTCGGGAAAAATTTATTTTTTTAAATTTTGCTTGCTTAAAATATTTTGTTAAATTCGGTAGCAAAAATAAAAATGAAATAAAATTTTAAAAAAATGTTAAATACAAATTTGAATAGTGTCCCGTTTAAATTTAAAAAGAAAACATTTTTTTTGGCTCAACCTAACGTATATTTATTTTGAATATGAAATATTTGTAAATCAAATATTTTCATATTAATGTCAAAATATTGCTGAAAACAATTTCTTTTGGGATACAATTTCAGGTAATTTTTTATTCCCGTACTCGAAGAGTTGATGAGCGCCTAGTTTTCAGAGACTATAAGAGCTAGAGCAACTAAATTTTGTTTCCAGAGTCATGTGATATCACACTGTTCCAAGTGTATTTCAAAACTCTTATATATTCTTTATTGTCTTTACAATTTGTGCTATGTGTTTTTTTTTTCAAACAAATATTGATTTTTTGTACGAACCAGTGGGATTTTGTGTAAGATCTCTGTGATATGCCGGGTGTGTCCTGCTACATTTCAGAATACGAGTATCTACTGGAGTCTATGTGAACTATTTAGAAATTTCTTTTAGGGATATCTCAGGTGACAGTGCTTAAAGTCGAATGTCGTACCTATTCAAGTTGAGAAGTCGCATTGAGAGAGCTTGGTGAGCTGATGAGCTGTTGTATATATAAAGTAAATGTCCAAAGTCCAGAGTCCTTGTGGTCGCAAGAGGTCGCTTGTTTGCATGTTTGCTCTTGATCCTCTTTCCCTTGTTATTTTAAAGAAAATTTTGAAATGTTTTCCCGTCACAGGGATAAGATTAATAAATCAAATTATCATAATAAAAATTTAATTTTTTTGAATTGATTCAATTAATATTTAGAATTTAATATTTAGCTTTTTAGTATTTAGTTTTAAGATGAGCTAAGACGCCACCTTGCGACCTGCTTTTGCGATTACGAAAATTGCCATTTTTCCAACGAAAGCCGCCAGCTGGCGCTGTTTTCTGAAACCATAATGATATATCAAATATATTCGATTAATACTGGGAAGTGATATCGAGTACTCTATTAGTTATATCGAATAAAAAGGAGCTGCCAAGTCGGGAGAAAAAAAGCTGTCTGGCAGCACCTGTGGTACTACCAGACTTTGTTACTGCCAGCGCTGCCACTGGCAGCCGATGTTTTTGCCAGCCCTGGAGCACCGATAGCATAGCACGACTTTACTTTTCAGCCCTGGCTGTAGCGTGGCTCTGGCAACGCCAAAATCGTCGTGAAAAAAAATAAATGAGAAAATTTCTGCGAGAACATGGAAAAATCCCCATGCGCGGAGTCGACATTGTTTAAAAAAAATCCAACAATTGTGTGTACATCGTGCTAAAATCGTGGTTACATTGTGCGTGCAACCAAAAAATACAACATATATTTTAAGCAGTTTACATCTTCATTCGTGCTTCTTCTCTCGTCGTCGGCGGCGGCGCTCGTTTCGTTGTATGGGCCGTGCGTAACAAATAAAATTGCCAAAAAATCGCGGAAAATGCACAGAGAGTGTGCGGAAATGTAAATAAACGAAATTCGAATGAGCAACGCGTGTTTCAGTGTAATTCGTTTGATCAAAATGTATGGAAAAGGCCCAATCTTGTGACGACGACGTGCTGCTGCTGCTGCGTTCATTGACGTGACGCGCGAGTGTGTGTGTGTGTGTTTTGGTGTGTGTTGGCGCGTGGGCCAGTGTGTGTGTGGGTGAATGTGGCTGCGAATTGTTGTTAAACCAAAAATATACATACAACAAGAGCCAGCGTGGAAGCAGCAACAAACAAAACACCACAACACAGCAGAAAAAGCAATACAAAAATAAGCATAAATTATTTAATAACAACAACAAGTTGGCCAAAGGAAAAGAAAGCCAACAGTCGCGTGCAGTGCAAAATGTCTCTCTCGTTTGAGTGTGTGTGTGTTGAGTGTATAGAATTGAATAAGCAGGGGCACACAGCAAGAGGAAATAGGCAAGCAAAGCAGTAGCTTAGTCCAAGCAGCAACAAGAGGAACGGAACTGTAAAATACGAAGATTAAGAAGAAGCAGTAGCGGGCGCCAAAAACCGCCGCGCCGCACAAATGAAGCAATCAAATTTTGTATAATTTTTGCACAAAGTCGACATTTGTCTGTACCCCCCCACCACCACCACCCCACAAAAAAACAACAACAACAGCACAGGGAGCATAAATCTTTTGCCAATGAGTCGCAGACAGTCATTGGATCGACCAGGTGAGTGTATACAAAAAAATAATGCTTAGTGCTCCTCTCTCTTGGCAGAGAAGAGAGATAGAGAGAACAATCAACGGAAATGCTGATGCTGAGTGGGGGAGAGAGCGAGAGATGTTGCTGCTGCACACGATGTGCACTTTCCGCGCCTGCTCTCGTTCTCCTCTCTCTCTCTTGGAGTCTTGCGGCTAAAAATAACAGCTCTCTCTCTCTCTCTCTGTGTGATGCGCAGCTGCTCAGACACTTGAACTGCTGGTTTTGTAAACATCAGCCAGAAGAATTAGAATAATCGCCAAGCAGTAACAAAATAACTGTATAATTACAATCTTTCAACACAAAAAGAATCCTGAAATATGAATGGGACGATACCGCGCCCCCTTTTGTGCCTGTGTCGCTCTTCCTCACTCGCTCGCTTGCTAGCTGGCAATTCTATTTTTAGAGGTAAAATCTCGAGCGAGGAAAAGAGAAAGTATGTCTGGCTGGGCCACTACTGTCACTGTCTCTTGAGCACATGTAAATGTGCACTGTCTATGTATGTATCTGTGTTTGTGTGAGAAAGAAAAGAAAGAAAGCAAGCAGTGGACGTAATGGCCAATAACCATAAAAAAAAACACTAAAAAAATCACCAACATTTTGCTTTTGCAGTTTCTCTGTTTCGCTAAGGTTGTAAATATTGTTAACCCACTAATAAAAAATTAAAAATAAATAAATACTGCGGCAGGAATGTTGTCTAGTTACGAGTATAAACTGCAATTAGCATTGAATGCCGCTTTCCGTACAACTGTCTGGCCACCCAACACCGCCCCCTAAAATACTTACACCTGCTTTTGCGTGTCTGTAGTCTTTAATTTATTTATAACATTCAATGTAAACTATGGCTAAAGCGCCAGCAAGAACAGCAAACAATTTCCGATGCAAAGCATTCCCGCGCGCAAAGGCAGCAACCAGATGCTACCGACTAAAGGATACCCTCTACAATAATTTTTAAAAAGTAAGAAATGAGAGGAAGAGGGATGGCAAAGCAGAAAATGAGACGATTTTTGATTGATTAATGATGTTGATGATACTGTCTACCAGAAAACATGTACCCTCCTAGATGCTAGTCTAGTAACAAGTACCATAATAGCAAAACGCAACACGAAGCCACAACACACCATACAACACGGGCAGTAAGCAAGGGGCAGCAGTCAGTCAGGCAGGCAGGCAGGGAGTCGCGTTTGCTTGGCGTTTTTTTTTTTTTTTTTATTATTTGCCGCTTTGTAGGTCAGGGTTGTCGTGTGTAATGCAAAACGTGCCAGCAGCAAATTGAATGAATAAGCGTGGCTGACTGCACCGCCCATATCCCATATCATATCCATATTATATTATATTGCAACTGCAACAAAACCATTAACAATTATTCCCGGCAATTTCCCGACATTCGAGTATCACAACAAAGCTGAAATTAATCCAAAAAAACATGGAATACAGTAAATAAACAGAAGCCCGTGCATATTTAATTGAAATTGCCGATAATAACCGGTTAATGGTCAATGATCCACAAAAGTGGACTCCAATGTGTCCCTGGGTTGAGTTTCCTTTTCTAATTGAATGAAATGTCGATACATGATATATGACTACAAAGTATATTCTGATTTCGATCGTGAATTATATCGGCAATGTTTACACAGAAAATGATTTATTATATTCCTTTGCGGACTTTAATTCGGGGCTTATATGGGGAATGATGAAGCCACCTTTACATAATATCATATTTTGATTGCATTGTGTGGGCGTTGCCGTCAATTGGATTCGATTTGTGTTGTTATTGTTTCGATTTTCACGTGACAAGTCCTCATTAGGCAATTTTTAAGGTTAAATCGATTTTACAGGCCATTAGGCGCAATTCAAATTGTTTGTATTGCTATTTATATACTTTGAATTAAATTATTTATGGATAAATGCATTGTAAAAGTGAAAATGTATCTGGAACTTTCGATTTTGTTAGAATATGCCCTCAACGGGGTGAATATTTAATACTTTACTGTGCTTTATTATGGGGAATGTCACACACTTCTGATGGGTAGATCTGTGCGGATTGATCTATTGGAACCTGTACAAATGTTGAATAAAGTTGAATACCTTACCATCCATTTATTTCGATATTCTCTCAACCCTTTCATGTGCATCATTAGTATAAAAGCTTCCTGTTTGATTTTCGATTATGAAGCGATTAGTACCCATGACTATCATTCTCTCTCTCCCCCTTCCTCTCTGTCATTTGATGACTCGTACAAATTACATACATGTTAAATTCCCACAAAAATACATATATGTATGTACATACATATGTACACCTCTATAGGTATTAAATGTGTGCGTTGGCAGAGTTTTATTAGAATTTATACTCTGTAATATACACACTGTACATATTTGATTTTCTTATCAGTCAGTCAAAGACAGAGACAGACTGAGAGGGAACGGTATAAGAAACCAAGGCTACTTGGGCACAAGGTGTATTTACACAAGGTGCGACATTGCCAGAGAGCGCTCGAAAACGATAGTTGCGGCCTGACAAAAAACTAAACAAAGAAAGTGATAGAGCGAGAGAGGGGGACGTAAAACGTGCAGGAATGACTCACCTTTGTGTATTTATACACCTTGCTTGGGCAATGCTCTCTCCCGCGCTCTCTCTCTATCTCTCTCTCTGCCTTGCTTGGCTCTCTCGCGCCCACGTTTTCTTATCAATGCATTGTTGCTTCGTTGCGCCTAATTGCCGTTGGGTTTTATACATATGCACTTGCATACATAGATATGTACATATATGTATGTATGTAAATACGTACATTCTTTTTAATTTCGTTCTTTTGTGTAATGATTTATAAGCAGCAGCCAGACGCTAATTCGCCCACAAAGTAACAGCGAGGCCAAGAACAATGTCAGTGGAATTTGATTAGCATAGGAAAACCATAGAAACCCCACAGGCCCATGACCAGGCCTAATGCCGTCGCCCCCTCCTAATGGGGAAAAAGTCGAGCATTCGAGCGAGTCATCATCCTCAAGTGGCTGCCCGACTGCTTTGGCACATCATTAATCTTGGCTCACAAAAGAGAGATGAAAAAAGTTGTCAAAAGTTGCCAAAGCAACACACACACACCGCACTCTCCCTCTCTCTTTTTGGCTTCTGTTTCTGCAAGTGTCGTTGTTCTGTCTGTCTCATTCCCACCTAATGAAATTGCTTTGATTTTGAGACTGAGAAAGTTTTCTCATTTGTGACAGAAGAAGAGGAAGACGGCAAAGAGTGAGTGAGAGGCAGGGAAATTACTTGAATCTTTGTGGTTAGGTTGAAAGTTTACACTTCTCCCTTTTTGGGGGTTAATCTGGTTGGTGTGTGCCCCGTGCCCCACCAAACTACGCTCTGGGCAGCTGCGATGTGTATCTATCTATTAAAAAATCGAGGGCGAGTCGAAATGTGGCCAAAAGACGACGACAATCGCGAGGAGACGAGACGAGACGACTCCTCGATTCCACGACGTGTCCCTGACGCTGACGCTTACGCTCTCTCAGGAAATTGTTTTTGTGGGGAGCACACAGACACACACATACACTGAGAAATTAACGGTACTAACAATGTGCTGTGCGTTCTCCCCTTTGGGGACGCAGAATAGTAGGCAATGCTATTTTGATGCTGCATTTACCAACACTGCTGAATATTCCCCCCAACCCCATTTCCTATGCTCCTCAGTGCTGTGATGTATCCCGGAACCTGGCGACATGTGGAATGTTTTGTATTTTCTAGTGGCATAAATTATTTTTGCCGCCCGAATGTCTAATATGGCGGTTAGCTTGCCGCTCTCTCACACATTAACTCTCTCTCTCTCTCTATCTAGCATGCTGTGTGTGTTCTCATCTCACTCTCTTTTAATCGATTTGGTAACAGTTGCCGCCGTTGTTTTCATTAGGGGTTATATTCTGGTTTGATCTGGAGCCACAGAGAACAATCGTCTTGCCAGGACGAGTTGAACGAGCACAGGGTATATCGGTATAGAAGGTGGGACAATCCCTGCTATCAAAGCTTGAACTGCCTTACCTTCAAAGAAAACCTAACCTCATCGTGCGTTTCATCTGTCCTTTTGTACCGTTGCTTATTCGTTGCGTCTCTGCGGCCGGGATGCTGTTGTCCCGCTCTTGTTCTTTCTGTTGTTTTTGCTGTTTTGGCTCTCAGGAGAGTTTTTGATTCGACATGTCCGCTCCTGCAACCCTTTTTTCAATGTATTCATATGCATGTACAATACATATGCGCGCCTCTGTGTGTGTGTGTGTATGCGTGTAAAGTTTTGCATTTTTATTATAGATAATTTGTGTACAGGTTTTTTGCGGCTGCCGCGCAAACTCCCAACTTGACGACTCTTCACCAGGAGGTGGAGAAGACTCCACCTCTGTCGCTGCTTCTCTTCCTCCTTCTCTTCGTTGTCGTTGTCGTCGTCCTGTCTGCATATGTTGGATGCTGTGTGGTGTTGTTTTTGTGTTGCTTCCTCCCTTTCGGCTCTTCCTTTTGTGTTTGCGTGTGTGTGTGTGTATGGGGGGAGCCATAATTAATTTTCGACATTTGCTTTCGAGTGTTGGCGTTTGAAGTCTGGCAACATTGGATATCAACCGCAAAAAGTTCTGTACATTAGAGCGGGACACCAAATGGGCTAAGTGGGGGGGGGGAAATTGTGTATTTTAATTGTGATTAATGCGAAAGGGGGGCTGAAAAGAGAAAAGCGAAAATTATTTGAGGTATTTTTCATAACAGAGAAACGGAGTATAAATCAAAGCGAAAATAATTGGAAATATTGTTTATTGCAATGTTAAAATATTTATGAGAAAGAAAGGATAATTAAAAGTATATATGTAGGATCTACATATAGCGGTAGTGGACTCAATCTATGTTCAAAGTAGCTTCTAATCCCAACCGATTAGAAATATTTATAGGATAGTTTATTATCTAAAGCAAGAAAAACTCTTTAGTTTGATTATCA